GAACACTTGATATACTGGACCTATACCCAAGATTTATTATGCAATTCAACAATGATGTAATTTATGTCACGTGATCATAACTCAACTTTGTAAAAAGCACATTAACCACCATATGTGATTGAGTGCTAAGTATATACTGTGGCCCTGTCAATGTAGGCAATGAAAATGTATATATTTGGAGGTTAGACTTGTAAGCTATTGTAGTAACACTACAATCTCATTTTGTGGATGAGTACTCAATAACCCACTGTACAATGTATAGAATAACTCTCTAGCCATGCCTATGTAAGACAGACGACAATCTATGGTTTAGTTAGTATTGTAAAAGCACTTCAATTAATTTTAGTCAAGAGATCCGAGTAACATCAATAACTCACTATAGCGACTATAATAATAATAATAATAATAATAATAATAATAATACCAGCTGTCAGGGACAGGAAGCCTGTGCATATATATACACTAAGTTTCTATCTAGGCCCACCCACCACCCCCAACCCCATGGTGGAACCACTGACCTTGCCCAGGATGTAACCCCCACAATAGTTAGCTAACTCCCGGTATATGGACCAATAGCTGAACAGAGGCATTAGGTGGAAGGATACGTACCCCAAGCATTTCTGCCCCGCCAGCGAATCGATCCCGGAATCCAGGATAGTTCGATAAGGAAATGTTTACCATTGCGTTCCCGAGCCCATGATGTGCCTCCCAAACCTTTCCACTACCGCTCACAGGATGGATGAGTATGGATGTACATTAACTGATTGATTGATGAAGATTAAGCCACCCAAAAGGTGGCACGGGCATGAATAGCCCGTAAGTGGTGGGCCTTTTGAGCCATTACCAGTATCAAGAACTGATACTGGAGATCTGTGGAGGTGCGACTGCACCCTGCGTGACGGGAGATGTCTCCCGTGTATATTAACTGAACTAAACTCAAACAATAAAGAGGAGCTGAGCGCGTTGTTCCAATAAGTATCCACGAGTTAAAGGGAGGGTACACGTACACAGAGGGTTGGAGTACAAGCCAACCATTCCCCCATTGACCTATAATGTGGGTAATTGGACCCACGAATAACAAACATAACACTCCGTCAATTTCGTGAGCCGCTATGATTTACATCATGAGGGGGTAGTAATAGCCTAAGCTACTTTATCCCTTTGAGATGTATTTCTTTCTTGTCTCAATAAACATACTTCAACTTGAACTGTACATCATATTTTGACGCTGGGATATTTTACGTCAAAATACGATTTATTATTAGAGAGGACAGATGGATTCGAGAGGAAAGGTTCCACTCTTGAGAAATTGTTGTGTATACCATGAGATTACAATGTATTCCTATGTATACCATGTATTGCCATGTATTAGGTTACAGTCCAAGACCTATACAACCTGCTTAAGTTGTTAAGTTCATAATCAGGGATCCCGGGTTTGATTCCTGGCAGGAAAGAAATGCTTGGGTATGTTTCATTTCACCTAATGCCTCCGTTCACCTACCAGTAAATAGGTATCCGGGAGTTAGGTAATTGTTGTGGAGGCTGCCAGCTGTGGCTATTATAAGGTACAGCCCACAGCTGTGGCCATTATAAAATACAGCCCACAATCACCCTTATAATATAAAGCCTAGTATAAATGCCCCTCTGAACATCATAACATGGGACAGCCGCAACAGACAACTGGATCAGCTACTTACAGAGAATACACGGCGTCACGCTCCAGCTGGAAACCTCCACGATCCCTTCCTTCGGCAGCCACTGCAGGAGTCACGTGTCAGCCAGGGTGCTTTGGTCAATGTGGGCGTATGCGGGCCCAAGAAACAATTAAATGTTTGGTATATGGTATATAAAGCACAAATAGCTTTATATACCAAACTAACGCGGAGGAAATCCGGTCCTAGGCCGGGGCTGAGTGATTTGGAATTGAAATCGATCACATGTATGCACTCGCCAGCTCCCAATTCTTGAATGACAATGTTAATTAACGACACACGAAATCACTACGGTGGTTCGACGCAGCCAAGTGTCTCACTATCGTTGCAAAAATGGTTCAATCAACCAGCAAGTTTAACTGTTAAATCACCAACTTTCAACCACATGTTTACTGCTTCCTCGCCTCTATTATTCGCATCTAACGTGTGTTATACAGTTCATTAGATGCTTATATGCTCAAAAAGTGTCTTAATCGGCCTTCTTCCTCTCGCAAAGGCTTGTAATTCGTAATTTACAGACAGGAGTTCCACAACACTCAGCTGTCATGGCGCGAGGTTGTTTGTTGATGGAGAACAGCTGATGGGGGACACACCATCAGCTGTTCTCCGTCAACAGGATATTTGACGCTGGGCCTAAGGCCTGATAAATTTTGGAGGTTTATTAAGGCCACCACAATAGCATAATGACTGACCAACCAGCAGGTATACACTATACTTCGGAAGATGGTCCACAGGTTAGGGGCCTCGTAGCCTGGTGGATAGCGCCCAGGACTCGTAATTCTGTGGCGCGGGTTCGATTCCCGCACGAGGCAGAAACAAATGGGCAAAGTTTCTTTCACCCTATGTGCCCCTGTTACCTAGCAGTAAATAGGTACCTGGGAGTTAGTCAGCTGTCACGGGCTGCTTCCTGGGGGGTGTGTGTGTGTGTGTGTGTGTGTGTGGTGTGGGGAAAAAAAAAAAAAAAAGTAGTTAGTAAACAGTTGATTGACAGTTGAGAGGGGGGGCCGAAAGAGCAAAGCTCAACCCCCGTAAAAACACAACTAGTAAACACAGTAAACTCTCAGTCATAATAGATATAGAAGCGAGAAGTTGGGTTCGCTTCTCAATTGTCATACATTTAATTGTTTCTTAAATGGAAACGAAAACAAATTTGGCATTACTGTATATATTTAAAAATAGTTTACAAGACGATTTATGTTTAGGAAATTAAATATATATTTTAATTTATATATGTAGTGGTTGTTCGTCGACGTTTGTTTTTGTTCAGAACGAACTGAGGCTTCGAGACATTGGGACAGACACTCAAGAATCATATGATAATCAAAAAAAATAAAAAAATAATTGAAAATAATAATTGAAAACTTTTGCTCTGCAATCAATCTGCTGTTCCTCCACCCTCGTCCGTAGGCCACTATATATGTGAATGAATTAGAAAACAAAATATGAATTAGATCCGTTAGAATGCTGTTCAAAGCTGTAAACGATCATAAATCGCATTCATCTATTTTAATGCACTTTGTAATTAAAATCTGTATTTTCTCATATATTAAAATATAATCTATTATATATGTACGGTCAGGTTAGATTAAGTGTTGGCAAGCTATTTGCATTTGCAATACCTGGTTAAATGTGACGTGTGCTGCGACCCAGCCTCAGGCTAGGCTCGACATTTTTCTCGAGCAATGCTTCGTTCACGTCCTCTGCTCGAAACCCACTTCTCTAGAAATGCTTCATTCACGTGTTGCAAATACCAAAAGTGGCCAACAGAACCTAACCACCCAAGTTAACCTATACTATTTAGCACACTCTAGTATGAAATATTATTATCTTGCATTTGTTTTTTAATACGCATTATTTGGGTTCAGCAGCCCCAAATAACGAACCTAGCCTGAGGACAGGTAGAAGCCCGTCTTTGCTTCGGCCGAGCAAGTCCGAAGACTCATTTATAAATTTTAACGTACGTACTGTCGAATCAAAGACGGTATTTTTCGTATTATAAATTCCTAGGTTCGTATCCTGGCTGGGAAAGATGACTACAGGCGGTAGTCCTTATAACTGGCCTCTGTTCACCCAGCAGTGATTGGGTCCCCGATTTTGAAATAATTGGCTGATCGTATTCTAGTTTAACTAATGGGCCACAGCAATGAACTATGGGCTGGGAAAGTTGTCACCCTGCTAACAGGAGTCACCAGTCTTTTGTTCCTTAATCTACCTGTGTAGAAAAAAAAAAAAAATTGGTTATATCAAAGGAAACAGTATATAGTTATTTATATTTAGTTATTATTTAGTAAAGTCAGAGTGGGTACTCATTGAAAATGGAGTGCTCTAGGACTAGGTATTGTGACCCTTATTCATATTATACATTATATTATATATATATATATATATATATATATATATATATATATATATATATATGAATGAACTTGAGTGGATATGAATTAGGAACCACCTCAAATGGGCAATAAAACAACAGCAGTTTCCTTAATTTTTAAGTTTTAAAACCTGCAGCATAGGGGAAAGTGGCAAAGATCAAAACACGCATTCTCTCAAGGGTAGAAAAACAAATCACGTCTAAGTTTTGCTTTTATTACATCAACAGTAATTAAGGTGACACGAGGACTTGGTCATGTAAAAATAAGGCATATAACAAGTGCAAATGTGGGAGAATTAGAACCAGATCTACAAGATTAAAAAACAAACCCATATATAGAGTACTACAATATTCTTTCCTACGGATGAGATAAAAGCAGGCTCACCCATTATGCCCTTATTCATTACAATTATCACTGAACATAAACCATTAATGGTGGATGAGCCACTACACTCAAGCAATAAAAATGTAATTATGATATAAATGATGCAGATATAAAAATAGATATGGTAGTGAGGAACAAAATTTTGTCTACATCAGCCCTGAACAAATGCTGATTAAGTACACTATTCATTGCCTTTCTGAAATACCCAACATAACAATCCACCAAATCATTTACATGTAAATGCACCAGTTATTTACTGTTTAAATAATTTAAGCTTAATATATCATTTGTTTCAATGGTAACATTGAATGAATTTTGAAAAAAAAATATTGCATTTTGAGAGTATAAATAATATTTGTACACAGTGACGAATCTATAAACTAATGGTTGGGGCCCAGTGTAAATAAATAGTGTCATATTATTAATTTAATAAATACAGTATATACTGTATATATATATATATATATATATATATATATATATATATATATATATATATATATATATATATATATATATATATATATATATATATATATATATATATATATATATTAAAACAAAGCTTAATTTATCTATACTGCAAATTCTAATTACTACAATTGAGATTAGACCCAGACCCAGACCCCTTATCCATTGTACTGTATAAATTATAGCTGGATCATAATCCTTTCAACGTAATAAATTGTTGTATGAACTGAGATCCTATGGAATACAATACTGTACCAATGAGCAATACTATATGTTAAATATTATTATTGCACATACAGAATTAAAGTTTGTAAATGGGACTTTTTATAAGGGAGTTTTTGATTAATCAAAGTTAGATTTAAAGATGCTTCACTGTGTAACATTAAAGCTTTCATAAACATCACATTAATAAAAGAATAACTTTATTATCTAATCAATAATAATTTCTAAAGAAACTTTTCTAAATGGTTAAGTAATGTGGCAAGCAACTTTGACGTAGCTATTCTCCACACTGAATCATAATCGACTTTTATTTCTCTCACTTCGAGTAGGAGTCGAGATGGAGACTGTCGAAGCTTTCAATTGGTATTATCTAGTAAGTAATTATCAAAAGTCAATGCTTATCCAGTATAGCTGTATAGCATTGTCTATTGGAACACAATATCCATGTTGCTGTTACTCAATAACACAGTAAAGTGCAACTGACATTCCTAATACACAATACAGTCCTATGAATCACTATTATCTATATCTTTGCTCCTCCATAAGAGCTCCTCATCACTGTATTGTTTGCGTATGTAGAGTCTTCCACTAGATATTTGTAATGCATTCAAGTGTTGCTCATTAACATCAAAGAATTCTTCATAGTGTTCTTGCTCTCATAAAGGGGAACATCACTACTTGCTTGCATCAGGAAACAAGCAAGCACAAACAAGTGAGAAAGTATGAGGGTAGAAACATGGAACCGTAAAGACATATATGGGCGGAGGGGAAGACAACGAACAGGAAATATAAAGGTTAAAGTAGAGATAGTTGAACAGACCACAAATTGGCACTACAGTCTTAGTGTACTCAAAGTGTAGTCAATTACTTTATGTCCCTGGGTAATCTAAGGCGATTCATAGGAGAAAGCGCTAACATGGTATGACTATACTGTACAGCATTTGGAAGGAATATGGGGACAAGAATATGGGGTACAGCAACAAGCAGTTGGGGTATGAGGACAAGGAGCTGGGTTATGGGTACAAGGAGCTGGGTTATGGGTACAAGGAGCTGGTTATGGGTACAAGGAGCTGGGGTATGGGTACAAAGAGCTGGAGTATGGGAACAAGGAGCTGGGATATGAGGACAAGGAGCTGGGATATGAGGACAAGGAGCTGGGTTATGGGAACAAGGAGCTGGGATATGAGGACAAGGAGCTGGGTTATGAGTACAAAGAGCTGAGGAATGAGAACAAGGAGCTGGGTTATGGGTACAAGGAGCTGGGATATGAGAACTAGGAGCTCAGATATGAGGCCAGGAATATTAAGGAACAAACAGCAACCCTGAAATAAGAGAGGGGGGCCATCTGATCTATTGCCCATATGAATTTATACAGTATTACAATTTCAAAATACTATAATAATATTGAAAATGCCCATTAGACTTGACTGTGTTATCAGAATATACTCTGAAGTCTTGTTAACATCAAAAACAAATATATGACAGTGTCCCAAGTAATAGAATTTGAACACTAACAGTAAAATACAGTATTCCCACTTTCACTATGTGAATTGTAATAAATTTAAAATTAGCAAACCCTTAATATATAAAAATATGAAAGAAACAGTATAATAAGATATGCACACAATATAAAAAACAGTACAAAATGCATATTTCAGATTGTCAGTTACATTGGGTATGTGATAAACATTATATGTAATGACTAGTCCACTTTTTGTAACCTTGTTACTTGACACCAAAAATGTAAAATAAAGTTTGATATAAAGCAGCTTCCTTACAGTTATTAACCACTACAGCAATAGGGACTACAGGAACACAACCGACAAAACTCAAGAGGTAGAGGTAACAATGATATGTACATTTACTTGCTAACATGTTTGGCATATAGGAAGCTGTTGGCTCACTTTCACACCATTAAAACTAATCTTCCTATAATTACATATCGTATTTGGAATATAAACCTTTCAAGCAAAAGTCAATCTCTTTGATTATCTCCACACAATATAACTGAATGATAAAATACATGGCAGCTCACTGCAACATATATATAAACACGAAAGAGTTTTTGGTTTTTCACAGTACAGTATTTCAGAGTCAGTTCTGCCCATTGAGAATCATTATCCTGACTCAACTATGGCTTCTTCATCCAGCATGAAGGACAGAAGCTTGGAGGAAGACCTAATGGAAGAAACACATAATGGAGCCAATAACAGTTAAAAAGATCCACTATTTCAAGACCTAGAAAATTAAACTGAATTATACGGGACTGGTAGAAGAAATAGGAACAAAAAAAATTTTGCTTTCTTATTTCAGAAAAATACTATGAATAAAATCTTGTCATTTTTTAAAACAATACATACCCCCATAGCCATATAAAATGGCAGTGATTTTACAAAGCATTTCACTAGTACCCTGGGCCAGGCTTTGACAAGCATTTACGTATCTACTTACGAACCTGTACATCTTTTCACAATCTTTGGCGGCTTAGTTTACATTTATTAAACAGTTTATGAGCTCCAAAAGTACTAGAAGGCTGTTTATAACAATAACAACATTTGATTGGAAAGTTCTGATGCTCATACGCTGCTTAATGAATGTAAACAAAACCTCCAAAGATTGAGAAAAGATGTACAGGTTTGTTTCATAAGGTTCATAAGTAGACTCACAAATGCTTGTTGAACCCTTGCCCTTGTTGATCTCGTGAGGAGCTCATCTCGAGTGACAATTTCAGTAGCATTATTTTCTTTCTAAAAACAAAACCTTTCTAATTTTCCCAACAAAAACAATATTATTTAACCCATAAGAGTTTCTCCATTTAAAGCAAAGGCTTCTAATAAAATTTTAATAACTTGGGGTATGAGGATAGTGTTTGCATTCAAATCAAATTTCATGCTCAATGTTATTCAGGCAAAATTCCCATCAATATGACTACTGCAGGAAATACATTTACCATATTGCTAATCTTAGGTAAACAAAATACACCTGAAATGCCTCTAATCTCAGCTTAACAAAATACATCTACAATGTCACTAATCTCAGCTAAAGAAAATACAGTGCACCTGCAATGCCTTTAATCTCGGCAAAACAATATTTTAGTTAAAGCCAACCAAACACAGAACTAAAGAAATTCTTTCTCAAAGAAAAATATAAATTAAAATGACTATAGACAAAATTTCAATACATAATGATGCAATTCAATGACACAAAATAAACATATTAGTCAATCCTTATGTGAATAAAGAGGAAATGTCTCTGCCAAGTTCTCAATAATAAGTAATTATCAAAAGAAGGCACCAAGCCAGGGAGACTATGTAGCACCACCAGTGCCACTGAATATTCAAAAGGCGCTAAATATCACCGAGGATGCCAATACGCAAACAAAAGCACATAATGTGGGGGATATCAAAGGTATCAGATTCATTAAGGATTCTATTGAGGGACATTTGGAAAGCAAGACACATGAACGTCTTGAAAACTGGGATATTCTACAAGGAGGTGCATAGCTATAAGAGGGACAATGCAGTTCGGACAATAAAGAGCAGGGTATTGTTCCATTAATTGACTGTGAGTTAAGCATGTATAGTTAAATACATAATTTAGCTAGATCCATTCCCCAATGCCAATTATGGTGGTAAGAGGCAAGCCAAGGCAACAGGCTGCCCCGTAAGAGCATGTGGTTTGTTACTTGTAACACCAGACCAACGATCCTGCCAATGGTCTCGGATTGAGAAATGAATGACTGGGTAGAAATATGAATAAGGAATGCCTTTTTGGGAAATAGGAAAAGTGCGGAAAGCTTCCTTAGTGGCAGTGTCTGTACTCTCATTTAAGGTACAGTAATATCAATATGGCTGGGAACCTAGCAAAACCTGTCTTAAATCTGCTAGAAAGCAAGCAATTATCAAAAGAAGGCACCAAGCCGGGAAACACTATGTAGTGCTATCAGTGTCACTGGATGGTCAAAAGGTGCTAAAAATCACTTAGGAATCCAATAAGAGAATGAAAGCGTATAAGGTGAGCAATATTAAAGGTGTCGGATTCACCTAGGATTCTATTGCGGGACAGTTGGGAAGCAAGTACATAATTATCAGTATGTAACCGATATCACTAAGGATGCCAATAGGAGAGCAATAGGACACTGCAAAAGCACATAAGGCGAGCGACATCAAAGGTATCGGATTCACCAAGGATACCATCACAGGGCAAATGACTGCAAGGAACAGTTAGGAAGCAAGACACATGAACGTCCTAAAAATCAGGACATTCACCAAGGAGATTTATGACTAAGAAAGACAATGCAGTTTGGACAATAAGGAGCAAGGCAGCACTCCATTAAGTGCCTTTGAGTTAAACGTATATGGCCAATAAGTAACCTCGCCAGAGCAGTTTCCCACTGCCAGTTTCGGTGGGAGGAGGAAGGCCAAATGGACAGGCTACCCTTAAGAGCATGCAATTTGCTACAGTACAGTAACTCAAGTCCAATAATCCTGCAACCATACACGAATCAAGAAATGAAGAACAGGGTAAAAATCAGAATAAGGAATGCCTTTCCAAGAAATATTACAAGAGCGGATAGCCAGCTGAGCAGCAGTGTCCGCAAGCTAATTTGAGGGAATACCAATATGGTTGGAAATCCAGCAAAGCTCAACAAAGCTTAAGACAATTACAGATAAGAAACAGCCAATATTGGATTTCAACTACCACATGATGCATAAGATTAAATGACTCCAGAGCCATGAGAGCACTGCAAGAGTCAACCACACTGACGATGGAAAAGCAGCTGACAAAGAACACACACTATTGCATACAGTTCAACTGTGAAGATGCTAGCCTCTGGGGGTTAAGCAGCACATGTAGATCTCGAAAGATCTCAATAAGAAGATAAACATTTGGTGATGCAAATTAGCCAATCCTTGTGTGAATAAAGAGGAAATTACCCTTGGCAAAGATCTCAATAAGATAAGCTTTTAGCATTGCAAGATAAACCAATCTACAACATAAAACATTGAATTAAGCAGCCCAAGTACTAGAAAGTTTGGAGGCTGAAGTAAAATTAATAGTGATTACAACCATATACTGTGCTGTGTGTGTTTCAAATTCCATGAGGGTAACTGAGAAGGTTATCAATAAGCCAGTGTATTCTAAGATGTGAACTGATTAGTATATGGAAAGGCTGGCATGATGACTTAAGAGTGAATGTAATGAGAAAGAGGTGTTGGCAGTATATATGGATGTCGCTGTGTATGTGGTGGATGTGATGGCTGTGGCTACAGTGGATGCAGAGGGTGTGGCTATGGTGCAGTTTGTAGCGGATGTAGCCTTTTACCCGCTAAAGATGTGGATGAGATAGAATGTTCAGTTTCCACCACCATGCGATAAGAAGGATCAAAAGGACTACATGGTCACGAGAGCACTTGGAAAGTCAACTACGATAACCAACAATCGTTGGCTTGTGAATTATAACACACTCAGATCATAATAAATTGAATAAAGCTCTGCAGTAAAAGTACTTGTCTCTAGGCAACATGTGGCGCAATAAAGTTTTATCATCGATAGTTAGCTAACAAGCCAACTCCATTAGAAAATTTTGCCCTGTTAACAAATGGAGCAGTAGTGTGTTTGTTAGTGGAAATGTGTAACGAAAGGCATGACAAGTGCCTTTCCTGCAGTGGCTGTGGTGGTTACAATGACTGGATGTGGCTGTGGCGGATTAAGCTTTAAATGGTTTAAATAGGTGGAAAGAAATTAGTAATAAAAAAGTGTGAGTATGGCAGAGGTAGGAGTTTGATGCTTGGGACACCTGTTGATGAATGACAGTAATTATGAGGAAGATATACAAGAAAGAAACATAAGGGTTTCAGCGATTGGTAGACAACTTACTTCATGGAAAGATCAGGTAAAGCATTATACAAGGGACAGGTCTCACGATAGCACATGGTTAGAAGATCATCCTGAGGTTATCTTGAGATGATTTCGGGGCTTTAGTGTCCCCGCGGCCCGGTCCTCGACCAGGCCTCCATCCCCAGGAAGCAGCCCGTGACAGTTGACTAACACCCAGGTACCTATTTTACTGCTAGGTAACAGGGGCATAGGGTGAAAGAAACTCTGCCCATTGTTTCTCGCCGGCACCCGAGATCGAACCCGGGACCACAGGATCACAAGTCCAGTGTGCTGTCCGCTTGGCCGACCGGCTCCCCAGAGATCATGTCTACAAAGGGATCCTTGAGAGACTTTTGTTCAGTAGCTGCCATTTTGGAGGGTTGTTTTGTTGCAAGGCATCAGACATAAATCATTATTACTGGAAATCAAGAAAAGAAGCCATTCATTAATACGTGAATCACATACAAATTTAGGCCTACAAAATAATGTTTGTATGAATAATTTGATAAAATGCAAAATAACAGATCTTGCATAAGTATTATCATGTCTGATTTAGCACAATTTATCTATATATTAAGAGTAATATCAGTAACTTGCAAAATAAAATTATATACACAAAAATGAATTAAGAAGCAGATCTTCTTGGCCACTTTCACATTAGGCCTATATTTGCAGCCTTTAACTTTGGACCCTGTAATCCCCCTAAAAATAAAAGCATATCCAGGTAGTGTAATAACAATACTTCATATGTTGTTGTTATTGTTGTTTTAGATTTAGCTACTTGGGACTATAATTTCCATGTTGCACAGGCTATGGTGAGCCCGTAAAATTTCAATTTGATTTATCCAAAATGGGGAAAAATTACTGCGTCTGGTTTAGGACCGGGCCGCGGGGGCGCAAAGCCCCGGAATCATCTCAAGGTAATGTTTGCATTGACAAGATTCGAGTTACCAGCAGCAACAGCAGCAGTCCAGCAACCAGGAGGCCTGGTCAACGACCGGGCCGCAGGGACGCTAAGCCCCAGAAGAACCTCAAGGTAACCTCAAGGTAACATACCACACATACGCACTGTTTAGGTACAGTACTGACAATACCCCATGCATTCGGGCGATGATAATACAGTACTCAGGTGGCCATACTTGCCAAAATATTTTTAATACTTTTTGACCAGTTGTATTCTTAGATATTGAAACTTACTTGAACTGGATGTTATAATGTCTGAAAAACTGCTGTTACGAAAAAAATACATTAACTAAAATATTGCTTAACTTAAACAAAAAATTAAAAAGAAAATTGAG